AGGGAAAGATACACATGGAGAGGCAAGAGAGGAACACTGTTTGCTAGGCACTGGACAAAAGCTGGCCTTGTGCTATACTCATCCTTGCCCTTCCCCTTTTTTAGCCAAGTGGGGACAAACAGTCACAGTTTGTACAAAAGTTTTTTGTAACTTTTGTTAGGATCACAGTACAAGTTTCCCTGCCATCTTGGTTGTCTCAAGTGCAGCTTGAACTCCTGAGCCAGATCCTGCAATGTGGTGCTTTCCCTGTGAAGAGGGCCTTTGTATAGGGTCTCAGAAGACTACTTTCCTTAACACAAGCTGCCAGCATCAATCCAGTGAGTTTAAAAAGCCACATGTAATAAAGTATTGGCTCCAAAGGAAAGCTGATATGAGTTTAGGTTCTTAGCTTCCACCTAGGTTACAAACTGTCTGATAGTTCATGCCTAGGCCTGGATCAGAGCCAGTCTAAACTGTTGAAACTTTTTCCCCCTTCACAGCATGTACGTCTTCTGTCCCGTAAACAGTTCCAGCTGAGGGCACTAATGCAGAAAGCAAGAAAGACTGCCGGTCTCAGTGACCTCTACTGACTCCTCTGATACCAGCTGGAGATTGAGCTCTTCTAAAGCATTTTTTTCTTCTCTTCCTTTCTCTTATATCAGTAGGTGCCCAGAATAAGTTATTGCAGTTTATCATTCAAGTGTAAAATATTTTGAATCAATAATATATTTTCTGTTTTCTTTTGGTAAAGACTGGCTTTTATTAATGCACTTTCTATCCTCTGTAAACTCTTTTTGTGCTGAATGTTGGGACTGACTATGCTAAATAAAATTTGTTGCATAATTTTTCTCTTTTACTGAACATCTTTAGGAAAAATATATGAAAGCTAAATAAGAAGCTCAGCTTCTAACTTAGCAAAAGTATATCATCCATCGTGAGTTGGAATTTAGCATTATTTATCCTCTAGCATATAAAGTGAATTCTGTTCAATATGGGATATAATACCACACAGAAATCTAAATTTTCAAATATTTGAAATTGAGGGATTTGGGTGACTTTTTTTGTGAAAGGTCCTGGCTGGTACCCTCCTACCAGTTCCTGCCTAGTTTGTTTCCTTTCCAGGCCTGACAGAACCATAACTAACTGTTTTCATCAAGAAAGGAGCAGAGTGGCCAGTACCAAGCTACACACCTGAGAATTTATGTTAACTAGGCAAGATGGTCTGGCCACAATTAAGGAGGAAGGTACAGTGTACACTGCCTCTCTGCACTTATTGTCATCTGAAGTCAGTCTTTCTGGTGAGTGATTCTGTAGTCAAGATTGTGGCCACCCAACCAATGATCTACATGTCCTAAAAAGCTTATCTAGCAGAACAGAATTTTCTCTGTCAAAATGAGAGAGCTAGAAGGTTCATGAGGTTATAAAGAAATGAACATTCTAATTTAAGATGTTTTAAGGTATTCAGGGAGCCAGACAGCCTACTCTATACTTATGCCAAGAGAAGACAGACCAGTTTGGTCTCACTCATCACTGAAGAGTTTATATAGTTTAGATCTTTTCTTAAAAAATGAAAATCTACTTGTAAAAATTATCAGAATAGAAACTAGCAAGGTTTAATCTAGTGTTAGCTTTGAAGCTAACGTTTAAATGAGTTATTTTTGTGTATACATTTATTTTTACATGGTAAAGGAAGTTACAGCTTTTTTATAGCATACAAAATGAACTTACTTAGGTGTATTAGCCAGCCAGAAGGAAATAATTAGCATACACTTGATGAAAAGAATCACGATTTCTAAACACAATAAACACACATCATACATTCTTTTGGACCAAATGGCAACTACATATATAATATACAAGGCAAGTACTGGTACATCAGAGGTACCAAAATACCTTATTTGATGCAGTGACTTAGGAATTACAAAAAATAAGTATCATCCAACATTTGGATGCTAAATAAAAGAGCTGAGGGGCTAAATAGTGGAGTCACTCCTCCCTCCTTCTTTTTTCCGACTTTTAGGAATTTGAGTTTATTCACAAGTTTGACGTATTTAATCCTGTAACTAACTACTATCTCTCTTTTGATAACTTCAGAATGGTAGTTTTAAGCAACTTTAAAACTTGCGCTCCTTCTGCAGAGGTCAGCTTTACCTTTATGAGGTCTGTAATAACATTCTCTCCCAGGATACATGGAACACTAAGATATATTCATTTGTTCAATAGTGGCCCTGAAAGTAAAGACTTAAAAATTATTCCTTTCTCTTTTCTTCTAACAAACGAAGGTCTGCAATATGAGAAACAACAGTTGCTGGGTGAATTGAGTATTTAACAGATTTGTAGTATGAACTGTGGCAGAAAAAGATACAAGGAAAGGGGACTTCTCTGGTGGCGCAGTGGTTGGGAGTCTGCCTGCCAATGCAGGGGACACGAGTTCAAGCCCTGGTCTGGGATGATCCCACATGCAGCGGAGCGGCTAGGCCCGTGCGCCACAACTACTGAGCCTGCGCTCTACAGCCCACGAGCCTGCACTCTAGAGCCCACGAGCCACCAAAAAAAAAAAAAAAGATACAAGGAAAGAACAATTTAAAACAGATGACTAGACATATTTATTGTTCAAATTCATCTGCCATCTTCCCACATAGGCCCCGACCTCTTGCCATGTTTGCTGGGACCAACCCTTTTCCTATCTCCTTGCCCCAAAACCACTTCCTATCAGGGAACCACTTCAAAATTCCTATTACTTTATTCCCAGTGATTTAATTCCATTTTACTTTACCTTCTCCCATTCAAACTAGCAGAGGGATCTTACCCAGGCCCCAACTTCCCCCTCCCCAGGAGACCAACTGCTAATACTTCTGTGATCAGTGCTTCTTTCTTAGGTCTCTTCACTGGACCTCATTGAAACTGCTAGAGAACAACTCAAAATGTGGCAAGACATACCACAGTGGTTCCCAATGTTACTAGATATTTGTAGAGCTAGTTCACTCAGTTAAATAATAAAGATGCAATAAGACTTTTATCTAATAGAATGTATAAGAAATACCACACTAGGCCAGGACAAAGGTCTACAAAGGTAGGCCTCTTCCTCCTCTACCACCATCCCTTTGTCTCTGTCTCTTCAGCAGCAGCAGCAAAGAGCAGATTTTAGGAAGAGAGGTGCTTCCATAAGATCAACTTCAAAAATTTTCATCAACGCCCTTTTACCTCTATCTTATGTTGATATTAAATATTTTTTCAAACATAAACATCCTACCTTACTCATGATGGAAACTGGATGCATTCCTAAGATTCTTCAGAATACTTTCTGTTACATCAACACAGGTAGGACAACACCCCATTTCTTTTTAATCACCTCACAGCCACTGTGGAGTTGGAAGAAATCATGAACATAAGTTAATTTTAGAAGAAATACTTGTCTTTGAACATCCATATTGCAGGAGCCTCACAATGCCACAAATCTGAAATGTTTCCATCAATAAGGAATTTCTTATAGGAGTTGGTTATGTAAGGTAGGAAAACAGAGTTATGACTGTAAGTACAGAGATCCAGAAGTTAATGTGAAATCAATTTTACTATTAACTGTAAAGAATATATAGCAACAATTAGAAAAAATATATTGTCAGTTAACCAAGTGAGTGCCTACTATATGGTAGATACTGGGTTAGGCTCAGCAGTGAGTGAGACAGACTTAGTCCCTAACTGCTTAAGAGTTTATAATGTGAATATGATCACACCAAAATAAAAGTAGAAGTGCTAAGGAAAGAAAAGTCCAGCAGATACAACAACATATACTTAAAGGACCCAAGTCTCATCCCTCTGGCACAATTCAGGCTTACAGCTAACTTCCAAGGTACTGAAAATACAAAACATACTACCTGGCAACCACTACTTTGCGGACATTTTCCTACTGCTCAGGTCTATCGGTTCCTTTATCTGAGTTCAGAACCTTCGGAGAGACCACAGCAATGTTCACTCCACTCCACACAGGAACTAAGAAAAAGATACCCCCAAATCCATTCATTACATAGTATTATACAACAGGTGGTGGTGGTTTTTTTTTAACCTTAGCAAAACTGTTACAATTGCCCTGAGTGGTTTACAACCAGGAACACTCAATAGACTATCAAAAATTCAGATGTCTAAGCCCTACCCCAAATCAGCTAAATCAAAATCTTAAGGGATGGAACCCACAATTCTATCGTCTTGGCAGAGATTCTCCAAACAAGAAAGTGACAGTTTTAAAATTTTCAACTATAAATTATTAAGTTTTAACTTTTATCACTTCAAGTCCTTTTCCATAGCCAGGGGTTTGTATTAGATCGATTTCAAGGGTTCTTAGCCAGAAGAAAGATAAAAAGGACTGCTATGATATTAGCACCCCTCGTCCTCTTCCCTTTAATTTTCTCCAGTTAATAGGAAGAATTCATGTTACTTGAATTACAATACTGACCTTTCTGAACTAGAGTATCCCAAGTTAAATGTAAACTACATCTTGTTACTTAGTGCTGTGTTAAGAAAGCCTTATAATCTTAATTGTACATATATGTAGGATTGTAGTAAAATTCTCGTTTTTTTCAAACTTGTATTTCTGGTAAGTTATTTTATTATAAAAATAATGTGCTAAAAATTAAAACACTACTAAAAGGACCTAAAGTAGAATAAAAGTCCTTTCACCCAGGAGGTATTTTACTTTATGATTAAATATATGATCAATACAGTCTAAATATATTTCAGAGAGTGTGCACAGCTCAGTGGTACTTTTAGGCTTACCACTTGAGTCTCTAACAGGACAAACCATGACAGCTTTCAGAGTGGACACCAAGCCTCTGCCCAGTCAAGAAATGGAAAGGGGCAGTGGCCAGATTACAGCCACTCCCAATAACTACGGTTTTGGGGAAATGCTCTTAACTTCCATGCTACAAAGTTAAGATACCCACTGAGAAGAAAAAATTCAAGTCAGAAAAAGTTCTCACTTTAAATGATAAACTTTTTTACATTTATCTAAATTAAAACTAAGTCTGATGTTTCGCTGGGGGGAACAAAAACAGTTCTCTATCCAACTCCAGTTACACCATAGTTTCAACAATATCTACCCAATAGAAATAAATTATGAAAACCTTTTGTTACTACTTGGTATAGACGTTTGTGCAGAAACACACATTCATTCATGCCATTAAAAAAAATGTAAGAAACACAAATCAATATCCCTTATCAAGTCTTTGAAATAATTTTTCTCAGAGAATAATCCATTTAGAGCAAAAAGCTTAGTTAAGAGGAAAACAGAGAAACAAGTATACATGGAATATAACTGTCAGGCAAAACATAATCAGGCCTTAGTCCCACTAGGCAAGGGAAAAAAATTTGGCATAGTCTGATGTTTTGGGTATGTGAACTATTTTAAACATTATTTTATCAGAATTTTTTTCTCAATGAGTTTAAAAAGTAACTGTTAGCCAGAAAGTTAGTGCAGATAACTATTAGCCAGAAAGTTAGTGCAGATACAGTAATGGCAAACAAAAGAGAATTTCAAAAATAAAAAAGCATTACTAAGGATACACAGAGATACTACATAATATATGAAACAATCCAACAGTACATAATAATCATGAACTTAGATGCAACTCATTGAAATGGCCTCAAAATATATTGGAAAAAAATCTGAAAATGCTAGGTGGATTTGAGTAACTACCTTTATCAGAAACTGACAGATCAGTAATAATTAAAAATTCGTAATTTAGTAAAACTAAACGAAATCAATAAGTGCGAATGGATATAGAAAGATCATCCAATTAAGTCCATTTCCCCCCCCCAAATACATAAAGGAACATTTACAAAAACTGTAT